AGACACACAGAAGATTTACATACATGATGAATATTAGTCTTTGGCCTTCATAATTTGCCAAAACACAACAAGCTGTGATTCCTGAGCCTCGGGAGACAGAATCCCTATTGAATGTTGCAATAAAATTATTCCAGGAAAAAGAGATGGAGCAGCAATAGTTTTAAGGCGGCTGATATGTAAAACAAAAAAAATATATATGTATGTATATACTGGGCAGGAACATGATCCATGTTTAATGAATACATTTACTCAGAATACCTTTCTGTGAGCCCTATACGATGAAATAACGCCACTTCAAAAAGTTTGCTTTCGTGATTAACCACTGTATCAAAAAGAAGAGACATGACTCAGCTGATGACTTGACATTTGGACAAACCTAGTCGGTGTAACGTGGTTGATATTTCTGCATATGTTTGAATGTTTTAGAAGCATTCTATCGCTGTATCTGCAAAGTCTTCCAACGCACCCATCATTTAGTTCATCTCCACCGCTACTCCACTGTTTACCTGCGGGGGGGCGCACTTGGGAATCACTTCCGGGGGATTCTTGTGTTTCAAATGGAATTCGCAAACAGTAATTTAGACGATCATTATTGGTTTACTGCATTTTCGTTTTAATTGGATCCACAGAAAACCAAAAACAAACCGATATTTCAATTTTGCATTCAATTCAAATATTGAATTCGTTTTTTCAATGTTGGTTTTATTTAGAAAATCAAAAGAACGAATGATACACGGATTAATTTGGCCTCCAACACATCTATAGCGTTGCAAATGGAAAAGCAGAGATTCCATTTTGTGAGACGGTCCGTTACACTTTTGCTGCTCTTACCCTTTGCTCTTTCTCTTTGCTTCTTAATCCAGTTTCTTGGGACTCGAACAAGACAAAATTAAAATTCCTCTCACTTAATTATGTTTCGGTGCTCCTGTTAAAATGATTCGGCTTGTTAATTCCTCCGGGAAATTTAGTTCTTACAAAGCCACTGGGGGCAGCACGGATTATCATTGTAAATTTCAACTCTGTAACATGTCGGTCATGCTTGGATTAATGCTGATATTTGTAATTGTGGGAGGCAGATTTTTCATTTTCTTTGGATTGGGTAAATATTTGAAAAATTATAGATTCCTCTGTTTAAATAAAATATGCATATAGTTTTCATAAATAATACATTTTGTCCCAACATCTTATCTTTTGCATACTTGTAAGAAAGAGCCCCGTGAGTCACTATTCGACGCTGATTGAGTGAGGGTGGTCCTTTCTTTTTCATTTTTCTGTCCAAAAAAGCTGTGACTGAAGCCAAAAATACATGTGTGTGAAAACTAGTGATAGAACAAAACTGTTGGTTGTTTGAAAGACAGGTGCCCCAGTTTAACTAACAATTTAAAAGTGAAAACGATAACACTTTTGTCAGTTCTGTTCAAATTCTCAAATATAAAATGTCCTGAATCTCTAGCCAGTTTGTCCGGTGGAAGTGGATCCCTCTCTCAATGTGGGCTTCCCTGAGATTTCTCACTTTTTTAACACTGTTGAGTTGTTCATTGTTCATCTGTTTTGAGTAATAGACAACTTTGTAAAGCCCTCAGAGATGACTGCTGTTGTGATTTAGAGCTGTACAAAATGAATTGAATTGAGCTGAGAAACAACAGACCAACTCAGACCAATACAAACTCATTTGTACGCAGCCGCCTTCATCTCGGCCTTCAAAGAGACACATGAGCCACTGTGGAGACAAAGTAAAGAACATTTTCACTTTTCTAACTTAAAACGACCACCTTTGTGTTGCCTGAGCTGAGACTGAAGTTCAGACTGAGACAAAAATGTGCCTTATGGATCAGCCTATATCCCAATTGGTCACTAAACTGTGTAGGCTGTGGCACCACCAGCATGTGCAAGCCTAATCCTGGAAAACCTTAGAATCTTAGCAGAACAGGGCCTGGTTAGTACAGTGATGGGAGACCTCTGGGAACACCAGGTGTCGCAGTGGGAGGGCTGCAGCTGTAAAGTGCCAAACAGTTAAACCACATTCCCCAGTATGAGTCTGGTGAGTGTGTGATTGGTTTTAGAGGCCAGAGGGAAACATACTGGCTTGCCTTGTTTCTGTGAATGCAGCTGCAGCCAATTGTACTCTGCATCGATTGTATTCACTTTTTGTAATGATTCAAACTTTTAAATCCATGTCTTTAAATGAAAAGTTGAAGAAAGAGATGGACGTGGGACTGTTATTGTGTTGAATAAGAATTACCAGTATGACTTAAATCAGTTTTGAGCAACAGAAACACCCGATCTACTGCCACTAATATTCTTGTTGTCCCACTGAGAAAAAGTTCCTTCAGCAAATCAGTGTTCTCAGTGGTTATTGGACAATCAAGCTAGAAACCATTCATGATTTTTAGTATTGTGTTTTATTTGTATATGTTTATTAATGAGCTGTTTTAAATTGTAAAGTTTTTTACAGTAACTAATTATTTTTATAATGTAATTTTGCCGTGTATTTCAATGGCCTTTTACACCTTGCCTATAGGGACTTGGGAAACTTGCTGTATAGGTAAAACTGACACATTTACAGAAATGTCGATTAATGTGTACTATGCCTATTCAAATAAACTAATAATAAATACAAGTAAAGTCGCATGCAATGTTTAAAGGAGATGCTCTGAATACAAATCCCTGAATGAAAAAATACAAATGAACACATCACCATTTCATGAGTCTAGATCCAATAACCAGAGCGGGTCAGTCACATCACATTTATTGAGGTCAAAAGATAAAGTACATTCATTTCTATAGTTACAGTGTGCTTCTCCTCGATGCTGATGTCGCACTATAGGCGTCTGTACGAGAGACGTTAGAAAGAACAGAGCAAATCCACAAACAAATAATCTGACATTACAAACCTGAACGCCTTCTAACACGCTAAAGCTAAGGTGCGGCTGTTTCCAATCTAATATGTACAAGAAACAAATGAACTCATCGTCAAAACGTACATTTATGAACTTATAGCAATATGTTTGAAGGAGAACGTGAAAGTATTTCAGAAATCACTTTAAGCATTAAATTAGCATAGTTAAATACGCTAAACGAAACAGCTATTATCTTTATATTATTAGCATAACATTAGCATAACAACAGTTGACCTGATCCATTCGAGCCACTTCGTCCAACGCCTGCTCGTGTTGATATTGTACCGAACAAAACAGACACTTGTTTAGTTGTTTTGTTCAAATGCAATTAAAATTCAATATAAACAGGAATTGGATGAGGGGAAAAAATGAAGTGGCTTGAATTAAATGAGCTAACAGTAAGCTAACAGTAAGCTAACAGCTGTATTGTTTTGTGAACTTAACAAGGCCAAGTTAAAGTCAACAACCATTAAAAGAAAAGAAAGAACAGAGGTGTTGTAGAAGTGGTAGTTATGTGATAAAAGCCTGAAGCTGATAATGTCGTGCAGGACCATTCAACTTGTGGCCCAGGGCCCAAATCAGGCCCACTACACAGTCATGTATTGTCCAGCCCGCGGTCCTCTGGTTTATCTTAGAGTTGACTTATTGTTTTAAGTTTACCTAATAAAGTACTAGCTTGTATGAGCGATTTTGGTTTTGACTAACATCTAACACACTTTGCAAACATTGTCAAAAATCATAATTCAAAGGAACAGTATGTCATATGTACTCTGAGTGGTCTAATAAAGTCACACAGCCATGTAGCTCCAAAGACCTGATTACAGATGGAGACCACCTGCTGGAGTTTGGCTAGAAAAGTTACAAACATCACAGACTCTGCGTTACGTATTTATATCTTGTATCTGCTTTCATCAAATAAATGTGTGGTGCTATTTTGAACTTTTGAAAAGAAAGCGTCAATATCTTGTTGCTACGTCTATCTCTGAGCAAACTGGCAACCCAAAAAGAGAGTCTCATTCTGCATGAAAACCATTTACACATTGTTGATTGTACTTTTAACAAAAAATAAGTTTGCTTTAAACTTTTGTTCAGAAAAGGTCAAATATGACGTAAATTCCAAGTAAAATATCACATACTGTCCCTCTAAACATATGTTAAATGTGTTCAAAGTGGTGATGCAATGTGCCCTAGGTTAAAAGCCCTGTTGCATGTTCTCCATCTGATCATCACCGCTGGAACTGCACAGGCACAAGAGCAACAAGAGCAGCTTCACAGCCAGCAGGGGGCAGTACATACAACACATTTCTGCTACAAATGTTATCCGAGTTTCCAAGTTCTGAGTTGAACAATGTTCCCGTATCAACTTCCAAAGTCATAGCATGGAAAAATCTCACAAGCAAAATGCACAATAAACATGTATCTCCATAGAGACAAGCTGCAGGTCAGAGCTGTGGAGAGGCGACGATGGATCATAATAAGACCAGGGCTTTTTTTTATGGCAGCAGAACACCTGGAATTATAGCAGACAAGTGTAATGCCAAACTGTGCAACATTCCAGGCAAAGCAATCGACACGAGCCCTGCAAAAATATACATAGTGCAACTTCAAATGCAGAATACTCAGATTCAATACACACAAAAATATCTAACATGTAATTAACACATTTAACATTGTGGAAATATATGCATGTCGTTTCTTTAAAAATCAAATAAATAAAAAAAAATATATACACAGCTTCTTCTGAACATGTGTGTATCACCATTGGATTTGGAGGTTTTTCAAATTAGTTTCATAATAATCTATTCTGACAATAATCAATGATCTTTTTCACAGTAAAATAAATGAATAAATATCTTGTAAATAAATAAATAAAGTTCTATAAATAAAAATAAGGTGTTTGTGTGTGAATGTGTGGACAGTTAAAACCCGCCTCCGTGGTATTTTAAGGCCAGTTTAATCTACAGTCTATGGTTCAAGAAGAACGTCCGAGCTGCTTATACTTCTCTCTAGTTCAAATACAAAGGATTTAAAGGGAGCGTTGTCGGATGTGTTGTGCTTGCAGACATGGACCGTACAGTTGGGTGGTAGTTACAGACAGTTCTACAAAGTGTCCAGGAGCCAGTCGAAGAGCCCGGAGCCCCGCTCCTTCTGCCCCTCCTGCTCCTCCTGATCCTCAGTCTCATACGTCTCACAGAACTGAAGCACGACTCGAAACAGGTCTCCCACTCGCCACGCCTTCTGGGTCAGCAGCAGCAGCACTCTCTGGAACTGAGGACATGTGAGCGCCATGAGAAAACAACACACACTATTTTAAACTTGTTTGAACATCTGGACAAACTTTACATTTTGTGTTTTAGAAAATATTTGCATAAAACATGATGAGGATGAGGGCAACACTCTCATCTTGTTGTTTAAGCAAGAATCTTCATTCTGATAGATTTAGATCTAAATATAACATAGCAGGATTGTAATCTGTGTTGTCCTTTTTTAATTATCACAATTACACACCTTGTGATCATTTCTGAACACAGTAAAAAACATATTTTTTTCACTATGACTGTTGTGAGGTTTGTGCCACGAAACTGAGCGTCTTGTTCCTTTATTACAGGTCTGCTTCACAGATAAGGATGTGGTGTGAAAAGCTTGATCATGTATATTAGCTTTACTTCGTGAAAAAATACATATTAAAATATATATATACATTGTAAAAGACTGTATTTGTCGCAATCAACATGAGTGAGACGCCTATATGCTTCCAAATACATACATTTCTAATACAAGCACGATTTCCTCTATGCTCCTAAATGCATCTACTGCCTGTGTCCCAGTAGGATCCGGTTCCGTGGCAGCTTAAACGGAGAGGAAAGAGTTTGATCCAATTACAAAAAATAGGCTGGAATTTCCCACCTCAACAGGAGCGCATCGGTTTGGCATCTTGTTCAATAACATTTAAATGGAGTAGGCGAGGGATCTGTACATTTCTCCATTCTGAGATCAATATCTTATCTTAAAGACCGACCCACAGCGTGAGCACATGTTGAGAAGCGTGCGTCGTACCTTGGCGTCCCGTCTGTCTTTGGCCCTCCTGAAGTACAGGGCAGACAGTCCCAGTTCAGATGCAGCGATCCACTGCAGAGCCACACGCAGCTCCCAGTCCCCACAGTCCGAGTCCACGTCACAGTTCAGCACCTGCAGCTCTCTGGGGCTGCTACTGCTGCCCCCTGCTGGCCTCACCGCACTGGCCCCTAAGGAAAAGTATATTTGAATGATTTGGTAGTGCTACATTAAACTCTTCAGGTCTAGAATGTGAAGAGTTTCAAAGCACACATTCAGAGCCCTTAGCGAGGTTTGTCATCACGGTAAGTTAACAAGAGCGCACAACTTGGATTCAACCTCTCCTGTTTCTCTAACATCACTAGCATCTTTCACTACAAATAAACTGAGTCTGTTAAAGTGTTCTGTTTTTTGTCTTAGTCTCATGTGTTAAGAACATCTTTTTCAGACAGAAAAGTGAAAAACAGAGGACGACCCGCTCTCAGCCAATCAACTCAAAACATAAAATAGTGAGTCACAGTATGCAAGATGTTTTCTCAGATAAAGACTTAGTATGATTTGTTCACAATATTTTACAAGACTCTTTCTGTTGAGGCAAACAAAACGTATTATTGATGAAGAAAAGTTACGAAGACAAATTGATAAATATTAAAGTGAATCATTTTTCACTATTGTAAGGTAAACATGGAATAAAGAGCCCGTTGCGACTTCTCACAGTAAGGTAAGGTTCTACTTCTATCCCTGTATAGGCAAATTTGTTCCTAAGTACGGTTCGTGAATGAGGCCCATTGTTCTTTTTACATTGCAGACTATTATTTACCACGTGAGGATTATATTATACTGATACAAATACAAGTAAAAGTGATTCATCATTTCATAAAGTACCACTCATTATTCATTGAGATTACATCCCAGTGATGTCTTTTATTTATACATCTCATAATAGAAAGAGCACAGGACGTCCTTTACGCTCCGCTGCCTGTCAAGAGCAGCCACTAGTGTTGGAGGAGGAGCTGAATTATTAAGCTGTTAATAAGGCCGAACAGACAAGAGGATCCAGCCAACACTCACCAGGGCCAGTCCCCCTCATCACTGCCACTCGGCTCTTCTCCTCCCTGCACACAAACGCCACATTACACATTCATCACGACAAAATGTGCAATTAGTTTCTCCTCCAGATCAGATCACTGCCCGCTTATACCCGCCCGCCCGCTATCTAACTATGCGTCAATGTCAGATCGGCAACACAAGGATCGCACTTCTCCTCACGTTATTTCTCTACGCACCCCCAGAGTGACAGTTTGATGAAAAAACAAAAAAAAAGACATCATCTCCGTACTGTGACAGTTACCTGATCACCGTGCTTTGAGTGGGAACGTCGGAAAATGTGTCCAAGTCTGTCAGGCCCAGACTGGAGGCGCTGCTCGTGCCGTTCCTGAAAGAAAGTAGTCAATTAAGAGTTATTTGAAAGTGAAATGTTTGGGGAGAGACACAAAGTTATAGAAGCTGGAGTGGAGGTAGTATGTGTGAGCAAGAAGCCTGGGCTGTGGTGGAGCAGGTGAAACATCCAACAGCATGAGGAGCCCTCGGTCCCATGGAGAAGAGCAGGATGAGCCCTAGATCCTATGGAGAGGAGCGGGATGAGCCCTAGATCCCATGGGCAGGAGCAAGATGAACCCTAGATCCTACAGTGCCTTGCGAAAGTATTCGGCCCCCTTGAACCTTTCAACATTTCGCCACATTTCAGGCTTCAAACATAAAGATGTACAATTTGAATTTTTTGTGATGAATCAACAACAAGTGGGACACAATCGTGAAGTGGAACGAAATTTATTGGATTATTCAAACTTTTTTAACAAATAAAAAACTGAAAAGTGGGGCATGCAATATTATTCGGCCCCTTTACTTTCAGTGCAGCAAACTCACTCCAGAAGTTCAGTGAGGATCTTTGAATGATCCAATGTTGTCCTAAATGACTGATGATGATAAATAGAATGCACCTGTGTGTAATCAAGTCTCCGTATAAATGCACCTGCTCTTTGATAGTCTCAGGGTTCTGTTTAAAGCGCAGAGAGAACCATGAAGACAAAGGAACACACCAGGCAGGTCCGAGATACTGTTGTGGAGAAGTTAAAAGCCGGATTTGGATACAAAAAGATTTCCCAAGCTTTAAACATCTCAAGGAGCACTGTGCAAGCAATTATATTGAAATGGAAGGAGTATCAGACCACTGCAAATCTACCAAGACCCGGCCGTCCCTCCAAACTTTCATCTCAAACAAGGAGAAGACTGATCAGAGATGCAGCCAAGAGGCCCATGATCACTCTGGATGAACTGCAGATAACTACAGCTGAGGTGGGAGAGTCTGTCCATAGGACAACAATCAGTCGTGCACTTCACAAATCTGGCCTTTATGGAAGAGTGGCAAGAAGAAAGCCATTTCTCAAAGATATCCATAAAAAGTCTCGTTTAAAGTTTGCCACAAGCCACCTGGGAGACACACCAAACATGTGGAAGAAGGTGCTCTGGTCAGATGAAACCAAAATCAAACTTTTTGGCCACAATGCAAAACGATATGTTTGGCGTAAAAGCAACACAGCTCATCACCCTGAACACACCATCCCCACTGTCAAACATGGTGGTGGCAGCATCATGCTTTGGGCCTGCTTTTCTTCAGCAGGGACGGCTAAAATTGATGGGAAGATGGATGGAGCCAAATACAGGACCATTCTGGAAGAAAACCTGTTGGAGTCTGCAAAAGACCTGAGACTGGGACGGAGATTTATCTTCCAACAGGACAATGATCCAAAACATGAAGCCAAATCTACAATGGAATGGTTCACAAATAGACGTATCCAGGTGTTAGAATGGCCAAGTCAAAGTCCAGACCTGAATCCAATCGAGAATCTGTGGAAAGAGCTGCAGACTGCTGCTCACAAATGCTCTCCATCCAACCTCACTGAGCTCGAGCTGTTTTGCAAGGAAGAATGGGCAAGAATTCCAGTCTCTCGATGTGCAAAACTGATAGAGACATACTCAGTTTTTTATTTGTCAAAAAAGTTTAAATTATCCAATAAATTTCGTTCCACTTCAGGATTGTGTCCCACTTGTTGTTGATTCTTGACAATTTATTTTTATTTTTATATCTTTATGTTTGAAGCCTGAAATGTGGCGAAATGTTGAATGTTGCGAATACTTTCGCAAGGCACTGTATAGAGAGGAGCGGGACAATCCCTAGATCTTATGGAGAGGAGCGGGATGAACCCTAGATCCTATGGAGAGGAGCAGGATGAGCCCTGGGTCCCATGGGCAGGAGGGGGATGAGGTGGCTTGAGGCTGGAGCTGTTTATTTTAATGTCTCTTTATAAATACATGCAGAGGTGGCAAAAGTACTAGTGTTAAGTACCTACAGTAGAAATACAGATACTAGCGCACAAAAGTATCCAAATCATTCCCAGACTAAATGTGGCAAAAATAAGTCAAATAGTAAAAAGGTAACATGGATTTTTGTTGAATGATTGACGGACGCGGTGAAATCAGACTTAATCTTATGACAAAACATAGTATTTGTTGAAAGCTTGTAAGAAAGAGCCTTATTTTTACATATTTCCCCTGCTTTAAACAACACTACACCACTGTGGAAATGTTTCATATTGGCACGACTGAATTTAGGAGCATGGCTAACCACTTGTAGCCTGCTTTTTATGTTGTGTCCCCATCCGGTCATTGTAAAAAGCAAGGAGTAGAAAGAACAGATCGTGAGGTTTAAACATAAGCAGTTTTTTTCTCTTCTGGTGTGAAAAGAAGGACTTAGTTACTTGCCACCTCTGAACACATGTACATGCTTTCACAGAGGACACGCACAGCACAGTGGATTTAAAGGTGCATCTGTAGAAGAAGCTTGCACTGAAAGAAATCTGTTATCTGCGATTATCTTCCTGGAGAAACTCACTGCAGCTCCCTGTTATTTACAACAGACACTGTGCCACACCAATAATCTATCTCACACTGAGGCTCGCCGTTACATAAAAAAACAGTTTGAATTGATTATGACTCTATTGATCAAAACCGTTTTTATAAGAATCAGGTGACTTCTGTGAGAAAATGTCATAATGCTCTGTAACACATAACAGATACACTGTAAACATTTTTAAAATATGTGGTGATCAATTCTTGAATGGAGTGATTTTTCTCTTAATTTGAGGCCATTCAAGATTGTCCAACTGTTTCAAGAACTGTTTTATTTTCTCATTCCAAAACAAGATCATGTTGCTTTGTCCTATTGGCAAATCGTGTTTTAAGGCAGTTAGAATGAAGTTAAGATACAAATTTGAGCAATTGTTGACCTATTTTTCAGCATATTACGCATTCAGAAATGAACAAATACAGTATAGTTGTGCCTTTTTTCAATATATATAATAGTTGTGTACAATATTGTCCAATAAATGTGTGTCCTGTATTCAAATGATAATGACGAAAGAAACCCATCTTCGGACCCTGATCAGAAATCTCCATCCCCCAGTTATCAATAGTGTGTGTATACTCTTTTGTGTATACTCTCTAGCACAACAGTAAGTAAAAACCCTGGGCCTGCACTAGTGTGGCCTTGTGCTCAGGGTCTGGCCTCCTGCTGGTGCCCAGAGTCAGGACTAAATATGAAGAGGCAGCATTACAGATTTCACATGACAGACTTCCTGTAAATGTGAGGCTTCTTCTCTGACAACGTTCAAATCCAGGTTTAAAGTACATCACTTTTAGTTGTGCGGATTGAATCTTTACTCTTTATAATGTACTGTGATTGTGCCTGGTATGATTGTTTCTATCTTGTTTTGTTAAGGACAAAACATTCCCTAGTGTCTTGCCTTGTATATAACCTGTGCTGTACAAATAAACTTGCCTTGCCTTGTATCAGTGGCAGGGATAGTAATAGCAACGGCCACTCGAATGTAAAAGGATACAGATAACTTCCTTTAATCGTTCTTGGGTAGTCTGGCCTTAGCCATCCGTACACTCTGCTCAATTATAACTTCCCTGCATGTAACGTCTGGGTCTGGTCCCTGTGTTTTCGATTACAATCGGTTGAATTCCATCCGACCAATCAGCGAGCGCAGGAGGCGGGTGTTGTAGTTAGCTGTGGGTGACGTCAAGAGTTTGCGTCGAACGGGCAGGTTGTAGTTTGGCAATGCCGAAGAATGCAATAGTAAAGTAATCCGGTCTGGTGCTATCAAGAAATTGAAGCCGGAGCAAGAGGAATGTTTAGCAAATGTAATCGCTGGAAAAAAATGTACATTACTGTGGAATCAGCTTCCCATTTATGTTAAGGAAGCAGATACGGTCTCCACATTCAAGGCCAGGCTTAGAGCACTCTACTTTAATTTAGCATATAATTAGGTAATATATAATATATGGTGTATATATTATATATATATGCTGTATTATGTTATATATTATGTTATATATTATACAATATATGTATTATGTTGTGTATTGTGTTATGTTGTATATTATGTTATATATTATGCTGTATGTTATGTTATGAATTATATATGATATATATGATATATCATATATAATTAGGTTTTCCTGGATCGGTTTGCACACCTGGTGTGTAATCCATGAATCTTGGTGCTGTAGCCTAGCCTAGCCGTGGCTGCTGTTGTCTCACCTCCTTCCAGATACGCTCTCTTTATTCAGGTTTAAAACAGTCCTCTTTAGTTTAGCATATGGCTAGGAAGGTAAGACTCAGGGAAGGTTAAACTCCTCAGAGTGTTAGTCAAGCTGCATAGGGAGTCAGTTTGCTGGGAGAAGTATGGGAACTTGAGCACTATCCTCTCCTCCTTCCTACTTTATCTGTTTAGCATTATTAGGATTTTGACTGTAGTTTGTTCATTGCTATTCACCCGTTGTCCCATTGTCTGTTTCATGGTACGATGACGGGATCTCTGAGCCTGGCCTCTTCCATCTACACCTGCGGACTGCCCTGCCCGACCCGCCTGGGAGTGCTTCAGTCCTGCACCGGACCTGTCCACGTTCAGCGGCCACTGGTCCACGTTCTGTAGCTAGCTTAGGTCCTAGATCATTAGTCTGTCCGTCCGGAGGAGCGGATCCCTTTCTCATATGGGTCTCCCTCCCTGTGGGTTTCCCTAGTTCTCCCCAAGGTTTCTCACTTTTTCCCACTGGGTTTTTTAAGAGTTTTTCCTTGTCGATGCAGGAGGGTCTTGTTGGACAGTTAGTGTCCAACAGAAAGGATTGGTGATGATCAGGACACTTTATCATTCTACAACATGTATGGACATTTTCTTCTGGGTGTGCTTTATATTCTTCATGTGTTTTAACTGTTGATTCTCTGACCTGTGTTGGTGATTTCAATGGTTTTGTTAAGTCCTCTGAGATGACTTCTGTTGTGACCTAGGGCTATACAAGAATAAATTGTATTGTATTGTATTGTACTCCCCCCGGGCTCCGTTAGCGGCAAAGGAGATGGCTAAAGCTAGGCTAAATGCTAACGACTCACTTAGGGGCATTACATACGTCACGGTAAACTCAGATCCAATCGTTTCAATCTGCAAAAGGAGTTAACCCCTCCCACCTGTTAACAGAGTCAATGGAGCAAAGATAGACCTTAGTACGAAATGTAATTTGTAATTTGTACCAAGCTAGTTCTCGGGTAAAGAAAATATAAAAGAAGACACATTGATTTTGCAAATTAGCTCAACAAATAAAAAAAATAAATACAACCTTTTGATAGTTGTACTCTGTTGAATTATTTTTTCTGCAATAAACAAGTCAAGTGTGTTTTATGCTCGTGGCTTCAACACACTTTAGATTTGTGCGACCTGAGCTGTGTGGTGGTGCCATAGGCCTGTCAGTCTGCCACTACTACTACGGCTTCGCACCAGGGCGACGGAGGGCTGCATGAATAATGTGGCTAATTGTGAAGTGACATTTAGTCTGGAGTCTTACATAAGAGTGATTTATTATGAGTCATGTTAAACCTGAGGGCCCCGAGTCCAATCACAACACAACATCAGCGGGACTGCACCGCTGTGTAAACTGTCCACACACATTTATTTGACTAATGCTGATCTGGCCTAAAAGTGTTTCCATTGAACAGAAATTGCAGTAGTTTTATTAGTGTATCCGGGCATTGGGGCTTTTAGAGTAAACCAAGACCTTAACAATCCCAGGCTTATGTATCTGGGACCAGAGAATTTTGGTGGTTTTACTTTACTTCTCATAAGCCAGGCCTGTAAAAACTTGTGTACTTGTGCACTTGTGAACGTGTGGATTATATTTTCTAAATTTGATTAATTTTGACTTTGTAGTTTTGTTTTACTTCCTGTCCTGTTCCCCTGTTTCACCTGCTGTGTCCCTCTGTGTCTGTGCTCCTCTTGCTGCTGGTCCATTGTCAATGTCTGTCCATGTCTATCCTCCTCTTAATTCTTTTTGGATTCTCTAGTTTGATTTTCCCTGGATTTTTATGTCATTATCTTCATAAAGTCATGTTTTGCAATCATTCGTTTCAAAATGCGACACAAAACAGACTCAGATTTACGTAAATTGGACCAGCGCGTGCCCCGGTCTCGTCTCAAAACTTGTGGAGACCGAGCCTTTTCTGTTGCTACCTCCAAACTGTGGAATAGTCTATCTCTGTACATTAGAGCAGCTCCTTCATTGGAAGTTTTTGAGTCTAGTCCAAAGACACATTTTTGCGCCTTGGCTTTTAACACCAGTTTTACCATTGTACTTTTACATGCACGTGTCAAGCCCTGGTGATCCAAGATGGCGCCCTATTCAAATGAATGGCTTGTGCTCAGTAGCGCATGGGACTTCACGGGGACCGGGAGATTAGCAGAACTCGCCTATATTTGGGCATCGTCTGGTCCTCCCGGCTCTGTGCAGTGGACGAGCTCCCATGATGCATGAACACGCGTGTGTGGGTCTCATGCACGTGCACAGAGGGGCTCTGCTGCGCTTTGACCAATCAGAGCTGCTGATCAGAGCGGAGTCAGAGCAGGAAGGAAAGGAGCAGAGTTTGTGGCATTAAAGTGTGGATTTAAAGAAAACCGAAGGATTTAAGAAAAAAAAAAGTTCAGGATGACAAGGGACACTAAAATTACCACAAAATCCGATATTTCTGAAAGCTGTAGGCTCTCTGTCAGCTGAGGTCGAGTTGTTTTAATTTACATTGAGTTTTATGGGACTTTTTTCTGGGTAGCCCTCGTGAATTTAGTCTGCAGTACCACAGGCGCCCCCTGTGCCCATCGGTGTGACAACTGTAAGCTAGTAATACCCTATCCAGTTATTTTTATAGATCCATGGCACGTGTATGTATTCAATGCTGTTTTTTTTTTTTTTTTTCTCTTTCGTACCTTTGAAGCACTTTGGGCAGCTGTTGTTGTTGTAAATGTGCTATACACATATAGTTGACATTGACATTGACAAAGCCTTTTGCTGGCTAATGTTTATTCTCATTAGCCAGCTATGTCCAAACTAAGGTTCGCCGGCACAAAACTCTCCCTTTTGAGCCCTCTGTGTCACTTTATGTGACCCTCTGCCTCACTAACTTAAAGAAGTCTAGAATCCAGTTGTTTACTTTATTAGTATAGACAGACCTTTACTAATGTAGCTTAAATGTAAATCAATATGCACATGATACCATTTTAGGTCCAGAACAGCAAAAAACTCGGTCCAAACTGTGGTAAGATCCGTCTTGGTGAACACAAGTGGCCCTCTTACTAAAAGGTTTGGACACCCCTGATATAAGCAGCCAAACTGTACACACACACATCTTTGACCAACACTGAAATACACAATACATATATAGTAGTAAATACCTGAATCATAGTTTGTATCTTAAAGCTGGAGTACCTCAATTTCTATTTCATAAATATGTTTGTTCCAACTGTTTTTGTGTGTGAACAAATCAGACCACTACAAGTCTTTATGTCATTAGAAAACAGCATACTGAGAGCTGATTGGCTGAGTGAGGGCGCCTCTCTCTTTTTCACTATTCTGTCTGAAAAAGCTGATCTAAAGATATGACAGAGACCAAAAAAACATGCTCTAGTGATGGAACCAAACAGTTCAGAAACTAGTTACATGGGTTTTATTACATGGTTCAGTTTTTGAGGTTTCAACATCAGGCACTCCAGCTTCAATTCAAGTACATTTTGTCAGTATTAAATATGCCATGGTAAAATATCGTATGAAGACAAATCAAATGTACTCAAATCAAGATAAATGAAACGTGATTCAAGCAAATAGCAATTACTCTTTGTCAGTTTCTGCGTATGATGAGGTTTGTTGGTTTGCATTGAACATGAGGGCACACTGACCTTGTGTCTCTGCACTACACAATGCACCTTTAAGAGCATGAAACCCTGGCTTGGCCAATCATCACCATACAGCCGTATGGCCTGGCCGCTGATGAAGCTTGGGATGATGGTGTAGCAAATGTTTGGAGCCAGAGCCTTTGATGTTCTCATATGGGAGCTTTGTGGGATGGGCTCCTAAAGCGGTCCTCTACAGATGCATGTGAGGGTTAGGGCTGCTCTAATCCTGTATGCAGGCTATGAGAGGGAGGAGAGGGAGCTCTGCACACGGCACTATGAAAACGGCAGCAGCGGGGGGTACATTTGCACTGTTAGCAGGAGATGGGGGCCATGACAGAGCCGTGCTTACAGACCCCTCACTCAGCTGGAGAAAGCTACTGCTGTCCTCGGGCGGGTCGTCCTCGGGGCTCATGTGAGACCAGCTGCCCATGCTCTCCTCACTGCTAGCACTCAGAGACCGCTTCTCCCGCCTCCCCACAGCCGCCCTGTCCCTGTCACTGCTGGGACACAGCACACAGCACACAGCAGCGGTCAGAAGCTGCTCCACTCACATCCTGAGTATAGGCTGGAATGTAGCAATGTCTTCTTTTATGGTATACTGGTCGAAACATATGGGCAATGCAACTTATAGTGTATTATTCATACGAGGGTTCTCCTCACACAGATGGATCAATCTGATCTACTGCTAGTAAAAGTAGTGAGAAAAATGTCCCAAAATTGGCTCAGATTGACCACTATTTGTTCAGCATTGATACCCGATAGCCACAAAGGAATAGAATTAGTATATAACTAATAATCAATAGTATAATCAATATACTGATACTTTGATCGCTCAAATACACGCTAGTCTGCAAGATGCCTGCTTGCATTTTTATGCCACATTTTCAATAATATGTTATAATAATTTTATATATTTTTAATGATGGCAACGTCTGATATTGAGCCATAATAAATTGGAGGCATAGGTTATACACAGCTATGGCTGCTGCCAACACAAGAATTGTTGCTTTCTAATAGCAAAGAGAGCCACCACAACTAATTCACACATGATAGTGACTGAAATGACGAGTTCATGAAGACAAACTCAGTCCTCTTGGCATCCATTTTCAGAGCAAAACTGCTGCACAATATCAATAAATCAATCAACCTTCATTTGTAGAGCGTTTTTCCCATACACAAGGTAACACAAAGTTCTTCACAGCCCATATTTAACTAACCATGTCTACAATAACAGCTGAAATGTAGAGATATTGCTTGTATTTCTTTGTCACAACTGAAATATTTCCAATTGCATCTATACGGCTAATTAATTATGTCCTTTTTAAGTTTTGAGGAATTCCTCTTGTACTTTCAACATTCATGCTGCCTCATTAGATTCTGCAGCAGACCCAAAAGTGCTTCTTTAATCTCTGGAACCGCTCCCGGCGGACAGTGTGGCGTTGGCCGCTTGATGGAGTCCCGTGAAATCATTGTGTGTGATCATCAGCCATTCTTCTGCTGCGTCTGACGGCTGAGCTAATGGGACAGTGGCCTGGAGCGGCACTGACCAGCCAGAAATAGCCATTTTCTTTTAATAGCCTCGTAAAAATACGTTATATCGCGGTTTAGTGGCTTAATGTTTGCTTTTTAACTACTTTGTATATTGTATTGCAGGTTTTATGGGTATGGCACTTGTACAAAGGGTCTTTTAAAATGGTCGTGCAGGCAACAGAACTTTTTTGTTTACTTTTCCTCTTACTGTCTAGAAGTATAGATATAAACATGGTTCTACTTTATTATCTCTGAAATCTTATTATGGATCAAAGTCAATTATAATATAAGCACATAAGAAGGGTTAGAGTGTTACCATGTGCTTTACAGGATAATCCTTGGCTATAGTTTGAATATTACAAAAATGTATTAATTCAAACAACTTATTAAACTTTGAAGTGTCTGAGCAGGTTGAATAAAAAACTTTCATAAAAAAGTGGTTTTCACACAATATGTCTCTTTTAATGGTGTAAATTCAACCCATGTGACCCATACATTTCATGATATAATTTCAAATGTTCTTCTGCAAACTCAATGACATTGGAATGCATTAATTCAACAATAAGAGATAAATACGCATTGAAAGGAAGACATATTTTGCATGACCTTGTTCTCCTAGTGCCCACATGGTTCATCTGGGCGTGTGAAAGCAGTTTGAAGTGATCAAGGAGAGGTGAACAGCCCTCTGAGCCAGTGAAAGATGAAGCCACTAAAAGCTTTCTGCAAACATTGTATATCACCCAGGGAGTCACAGCCCGGCCAATAATTTGTCAAACCTTCTGAAATAGACGACCTTTGCTTTCCGTGCCAACTGTCCGAGTCGAGAACGCTTCTCAAAATGTACTGTTGTACCGTACGTGTAAGACAGACGTGCAGTTCTCATACGACAGGAGCCTTTAATGCAGGGCTCCCAAAGCTTTTCCCAGGGACAGCTAGAAAAAAATGGGAGTGATCTATTCAGTTGTAGACGTTCATAAAACAATATATTTAAATGGGACAACCAGCTGTGGTCATAATCAAGCCCAGTATAAATGTATTAATAAACATGTGTTCAAATCAAGATGAAAAAATAAAAAACTCAATTACTTTGTTTGTTTAAGGGGGAAAAAGGTCAGAGGCACAACTGACTTTTGTCCAGAAAATAGAAACTCTCCATGGGAAAAGGTTGGAAAAGGTATGAAAGCTGGACTTCTGTCTTACATACAGTACAATTGTTAATTGTAAGTTATTTATCCACATTTGGGAAGTCTTATTTCTAAACAGAAAACATTACAATAATTTGTTTTTGCACAAAGCTTAAGTAGGCATTTGTATTAAGTGTAAGCATCTGACTCATGAAATATAATATATCATAATTATTACTGTAGCAATTATGTTTGTGCTAAAAAACATTAAGTTTTACCTGTTGCTGTTCGTCCTCTCTGTCCTTTTGAGAGCAGAAGACTCCAGTGGGGGCTCTTTGGGACTGGCCCCTGTGCGCTCGGACTGGGGTAACCTCTCCTCCACCTTCTGATCTCCCTCTATGTGTATCAAGGGCACATCTCTGGGGCCTCTGACTCGCGGCGAAGTGTCATTTGAACCTAATGCGTTTCCAGCTTGCTCCTGGCTGGATTTGGTGCGGCTACAGCTGACATGTGACTGCTTGAACCCCCTCCTCCTCTCCCCTACGGGCATGTGCGATGGCAGTGAGCTAGTGTCCTGCTGCCCTCCGACTGCACTTTTCCCGATATCTACAATGTCAGCTGCCAGGCGATTGGCAAACTGCTGCACATGGGGTTGAGAGTCTGCTGAACCAGCCTCCAGCTCAATACTGTCCTCGGGATCCGCAATGATCTTGTTCTTTCTCATTAGCGACTCAATGGAGCTGGACCAAGTTTCATGAATCAGCAAATCTGTGATCTGATCCATTCCGCCTCTCTGATAAAGGCAGGAGTCTGACTTACAAAGCCCCGCGGCGGACACCGAGTTGCTGGGATATATGTTCAAAGTGTCCCCGTGCACATTTCGGGCAAATCCATCAAAGGAGTTTGCTTTGATGGGCGAGTTGACTGTGAGACGTGAGTCCGAGGAGCGCCGGTCGGGCACTGAGGACTGTCTGATACAGAAGGGCGTTCGGGGAGAAGGGGGGAACAGGCTATTACTCCATTCTTTTGTTTTTGCAATGCCATACTCTGTGTTTTCCTTGTCCATGTCACACAGCATGAACCTATAGAACTCCTCTGTGATGCTTTCAGTGCTGGACTGCTTAGAAAGGCAAGAGGAGGCCCTGACGTTAAGATGACCATTTTTCTTAGTAGCCGCTTGTTGCACTGCGGCTGCTAGAATACTGCTGGCATTTTTTCCTGCGTAGTAGTCAAGCAGGAGGTCAAACTCCCTGCCCTCGGTTTCCATTTGGTTGACCATGAATCTTGAGAACTCATCTGTAATGCTTTCACAGCTCGATTGTTTAGAGATAGAACTTCCTCTGCTGAGATTCTGACCCAAGCGACTTCCGAGGCCTAGCTTGTTGGCGGTCCCCGAAGGGTCACTGTCCTCTTCGGGAATACTCTCGTAGCTTGCCGCCTTCCCCCGGCTCCACCTCTCACACTGCAATCGGCTGCGTGGTTGCCCTGGTTTGGATGTGTCCACAACGTTGAGTTCTGGGCAATTCATTATGCGCGCTGTGACTTCTGAAGCAAACAGAGCAAATGGATCCTGGCCTTCATCCGGGTTTACCGTCTCATCCACCACCCGGTTCACCAGCCGCTCCATTAGCTCTGGCTGCTCCTCCGTTTTCCTTTTGATCTCACTCAGACGTGGCGCTCTGTGTTTCTTACAAGCGACATTGCTTCCTGGAACGTCTTTCCGCCGGAGAACTGTACGACAAGCTGGGATCAGATAGGCCTCAGTCCCATCTGTTGTTGCCCCTTTCAGTGCACAAAACCATGGCTGCTTCCCTGTAGAATTCTCTAAACATATTGCAGCCAGTTCCGTAGCCATCGACACCACGGTTGATGCCAGATCTTCGGCGTAGCATGTAATTGGCGTCTTGGATTCTGTATCCATTTTGAGCGAGCTGCACGAGTTGAGGGACGATTGGGGAGTTAGGGATGACTGCCTGCTGTCACTGCTCGTGCCCAGTCGCCCCCTCCTCTCTGCGCAGTGAACCGGAATCTCACTCAGAGGATCCCTGTTGGGACCTGCCTGGCTGAAATGGTGCTCTGAGAATTCCTTGGCGGGCAATGACACACACTTGGACAGATTTTGTCTCAGCATCGCCTGTTCTCTCTGAGCTGTGTGATGTCTGTCCTCCGATAAATGCCTCTCCTTCGAAATAATAGTTACCTTATTCACGCTGTGTTGTGTTGCCCTGTGCACACCATTAGCGGGCTGATTGCTATTTATCAAGCAGTGCAGTTTTCCATTTCTGTTGCTGCCAGTGTCGAGTGAAATATTCTCATCTGCTTGTAAATTGCACTGGCTTTGATCACCCTGAGACACATGACTAATCTTTTTCTGTGTAATGCAAAGAATATCAAAAAGCAAGTTGTTAACGCTCTCTTGCAGAAAGTGCTGGAAACTTGGCACCTCTTTACCACCTCCTTCCAATTCTCTTTTCTTCCTTGCCTTCTCGAGAGCGTGTTTAAAAAGGCTGTCGGCCACCTCATTGATCATATCGTCCACCTCTCTATCATCAGTGCATGATTTCTTTGGAGACGTGATTCCATCGACAATTTTATATTGAGTCGTCTCCAGCAAATGAGCAACGCTTTTGTAACCCTGAGGTTGCGTCAAAACTTCAGCGGCCTCTCTGTGCAACACCTCGGCGATGTTTGCACGAAACGCTTCCACACTAGTGCCCTCCGCGACGCTGCAGTGAAGCGCAAAGGCGGCCGTGGCTTCAGCTGCGGACATGAGCCCCCTTGACGGTGTGTAGACATCAGTAGAGTCCAGATCCGAGTCCACTCCCTCCACTGAGTCCTCCGTCAGTTCAACTGCGGCCACAGCACCTGCTACCTGCGCCATTCCACACATTGCCGAAGGTATAGAATAGTCAACTTCCTCCTCAGGTTTGCGAAGATCTTCCTCTTTGCATTCCTCGGTTTCTAGCTTTGCTGCAACTTGAGGGCTGGTGATGGTCCCGATAACATTTGCGGCACAAGCTAACGCCACTTCAACGTGTTTGGCTTTGTGTGCACTGCAATGATGGGCTATATGTATGGGCGTTCCATTTTCTGATGTTTCACATTCTTCGGTATCAGCTACGTTGGAACTAAGGCTCTCAGACCACTCTCCTGGACCTTCTGAATTATCTGGACTCTGGACTATAACAATTTTTGGCAGTTCGAAAGAGCAGGCACGCTGTTGGGTTGACTCCCTTGATTGTGAACGGACGGGACTTGACCGCGACACGCAGACGGCTGCCTCTGAGACGAAAGAGGATTCGTCTTGGGACAGACGGATAAAGGCATCTTGCAGAACCGACTCTGCCAGATTGGTTGCGTAGTGACCGGCTGATTCTTCAGTATGAAGGCGAGCTCGCTCCGTCTTGGCCTCGCTGGCTGGATGCTGAGGTGGAAGTCCTCTTTGACAGCGTCGAGTGCATGGCTTCAGTGCTCCGTCTGCCATAGTCTCTGCCAAGTCACTGGACTCTGTGGACACAGAACAGAGCTAATGAGAACTGTCCACTCCCATTACACACACACTCCATCAGCTGCCGTGGCATCCAAGCTAAAGCACTTTGACATTTGGCCTATGCATTTTTTACATAGTCTATACAACTACTATTTCTGGACTTCCTGACATCACCAGCTACCTTGAAGACCTGTGTTGTCTGATAGGAATAGTGCATTGTTACATTAAAAATAACAGTAAAATACACATGAAAGTTACTGCATCATAAATTCTCTATGAAGATAGATATATTCTGTCCTATGAACACGGTTTGGGCACACGCGAGCCTCATCCCAAGAAGAAAACAAATGTAAATGTTTTGGCGAAAAGGAGGAGAATTGAAAATTAGATAGACACTCAAACTAGTATCAAAACTAGATTAGCCTTTGAGTAAGTTTAGACACTAAATAAAAGGACATAAACAGGACAACATTTGCCATTGTTGTCCTGATAAACTATCCACAGATGTATACATATAAGTATATATTTATTTACAGTATAGAAGTTTATTCTTGGTTCTTTATCAATCTGATATCTGGTGTGCACTATCTGGTGCACACTCTGGCACAAGTATTCCAATGTGGTTTTACTGCAAATGACAAATAAAATAAATCTTAATCTTAATATTTACATATCTATACTTATCCATGCTAATAATAACTTATGCTCCTCATTCATGTTCTGTAACTTGTGATGGATGCAACATTCAAATTTCCCCACAGTGGGACGAATAAAGGATCTTAACCTTAATCTTAATGGGGGAGTACAAATGGGATGTCATATGATTGCTGTAATTTGCCAGTTTTGAAGCCTCAATTGTAAGCTGCATTCCACCATGCTCTGTTTAGTACTCGTAATAGCAGTAATGTATATACAGTCAGTTAATATGATATACTTTTATCCGCCAGCCTTTTCCCACATTATCACACAACAGTGAACCTATACGGCTGAGATCTCCCACCGTTCCTGAAGCCATCATCCTCGCTGTCGTCCCCCAGGTGCTCGGAGGCAGTCTGGAAGTCGTCTTCGATGGAGGAAATGGAGCGGTTTGTGTCATCGTCGGCTCGCTGCACCGCTCGGCCGGGCTGCTGCAGCTGCTTCTCCCTGCCCCACTGCAATCCCATCAGGAACTTGTTGATCTCCAAAATGATGTTAGCCGGCTTCATTCGGCTTCTCTTCTGCCCCGAACATTGGAGCAGACACACAGCCGTGCTCTTCTGCTGCTGCTGCTGCTTTGCCTAAATCCATCAATCAAATACAGTACATAGAGTACAATTCAAACAAAGAAAAGAAACTAACATACATTGGAAAAAGAAATACACAGTTGAAAGGGGATTTGAACAAACTGATGCTTATTTGGTTTCAACACAGGCTCACACACACACACACACAAAATATTAAAAACAGAATAAAATCACAAGTAATTATAACCGCAAAACATAAATTTCTCTCTGTTTTTATTTTGAGCCGTTCTTGGCCGATGCAGGAGGGTCTAAGGACAGTGGCTCCAATGTGTTCAACAACTATTTAAAATCCTCTGAGTTGACAGCTTTTGTGATTTAGGGCTACACAAAAAATACATTGAATTGAATAATATATTATTTTTTTTTGCAAAGTGATTAAAGGTTGTGCGTGAAATTTCTAACAGTCTACACCATCCTTTAAATAAGCCATGAGTGTGGGCCTGAATAAAACATGAAAAGTCCATTATAACCCAACATCATACAAAAATAATATATAGCAGCTCAGAATGCAGAGAATGTGTTTGTTTTTTAGTTCTTTTTTTCACAACTGCTGCAGGATAAACTGTGTGCTCTGCTTCATACAAGTTTCATTATCGTCTGAAGCCTCCAACGTCTCATATCGATCGGCCAGTGTTTTATTCACTGATGTAATAGATAGCCTATGCGGTTTTTGGCTAATGCTCTTGCAAGAATTTGAAACATTATGCTTGCACTTTTGTTCACCATGATAAGATTTATCGTCACATATTTCCTGGTAACTTTCATTAAAGTGGAAGGGGATAGTCGCATTTCATTTGTATATTTAGCTTTATTATGCAGTTGTCCTCAGAGGCAAAGGGATTATCGCTCTCACGCCTCTGGCTAAAAGCTGCTTTCATTCCCTGGTAACTGTAACTGAAATGGTCGGTTCCCTCCAAGGACGGCAAAGAGAACCAAACTCCTTTAATAAAAATTGTTTGTAGTTGCAGCAATTCATTAGTTACACAAAACGTAGTTAAATTAGTCCATTTTATTTCCCTTTTAACTCAAAACGTGGACAGAATGGTGGACATTGTAGTGTGTTGGGTTTAAAGAGACTTCTTTGAGATAACAACATTAAAAAACAGTTGTTTTTAGATTAATCCATGCTATTACCAGGCACTTCTGGCACATGTAACTCCGCCCCTTCTGTGTAAAAGCTCCTCCGTCCTGTAATAGTATGATGTCATTGTAGTATTTTAACAATACTTTTCTGTAGTTGATTTTGTTGCACAGGCGTTTTGGCAAATGTTTGCGTCCAGGTCTGCGCGGCCATTAGCACATCTCCAAGACATTTATGCTGGCGTGCATACCAGAAACAAGAAGCTTATGACACTTTATCAGCCTTAGGGGGTGTGAAAAAAAATAGACACAATATTGTTTATTTATTTACAAAGTTCACAATTCAACCACAACAGTTCGAACACATAGGAGCCATTGTCCTTAGACCCTCCTGCATCAATTAATTCAATTCAATTCATTTTTTATAGCCCTAAATCACAACAGTAGTTATCTAGGAACCCCAAAACAGTCAAATTCACCAACACAGATCTATAAATGTACATAAAGCCATTTTCTAGTCTGTGATTTCCTGTTACTTACAAGGAAATAAAAATGATTTTGATTTTATAAATGTTCCAGATCCTCACTGTCTTGCATCGGCAAAACCCGACCCAATATTGTATCAGATTTCCTTACACCCGGCCTGAAGAAGGATTCAAATGCTCACAATACATAATGATCGTGTGTGGGTTCATAATCTATTCTAGAGGTGCAACGGTTCATCACTGATCCGTGATCCGTTCGGTTCAACGTCTTCAGTTCGGTACAGACGTGATCCGCGGTTTGATTTATGAAAAAAAATTTGTGCGCATGTTTTTCAGTCCACACACAGCGTGGTCACGGCGAGCAGAGGAACGGAGGAGCTTGAAAGCCCCGCGTCATTTAAATCCCTGGTATGAGAGCATTTTGGCTTCACTGTAACTACACTGATAATTAATATTTGACAAAACTGTCACAATGTGTAAATACTGTGGTACAAGAAAGACATGAGTGAAAAAAAAGCGTCTCAACGACCACCTACTGTCGCGGCATTTAAGCAGCTCCTTTACGCACAGTCAGACCGGGCTAAAGTCAACTCTCCCGCGCATCCTCAGCTGCGCTCACGACTGACACTTGGACGTCCCACCAGTGTTGCCAACTCCTCAGTAAGGAAAGTAGCTATTGGCTGTCCCAAAAGTCGCTAGAAGTCGCTAAATGACGTCATCGCCTAATTTGCATAATTTGCCATTTGCAAATAACTGTAACGGACGCTGTAGGAGAGAGGAATAAGGTCGTGGGAGAGACAAAAGTGAGTAAAAACACCCTAAATATGTTTAGAACTACAAATGTACAAAAATAATTTCAACATTAACAACATTTAATGATTTTAATGCTTTGTCTAGATCCACATTACACACATCAGTTTTGTCCTGTATTGTTAAATGTTATAACAGCAAATGTAATCAAAAGATTGTTATGTAGGGTGAAATTGCTAGCTCTACAACCAACCCTCCTCCTTTATCCGGGCTTGGGACCGGCAAAGTGACCCAAAAGACACACTCTGGCAGAGTTACTTAGGTTTATTTTTGTAAGTTTTTTTTTTTTTTCATAGTTTGGCATAACAAATGATTTAATGTGACCCACTACTGAGAGAAAACAGAGTCACGGACAGAGCTGCCGCGGATGGAGTGGGGGGTAGTGGGGGGTGGCGGTGGTAGGAGTGGCCGGGGAGCTTTGGATGTGTGGTGGTGGTGGAGCTGAAGTTCAGTCTGCAGCAGCCTGAAAACTTCCTGTGCTTTTGAGTCTCCTCTCTCTCTCTCTGCTCCGCCCATAGACTGTAGCTGGGACTGCTGCGCAAGGCTACTGTGAGACTGGCCGCCTGTAAGTGCTTTGGGACGGGGGAGGGGCTCACGTTGAGGACAGCAGAACAATACGTGCTTCACGAGTCTCCAAAACACCAGATAAGTCGCCAAAACACCAGATAAGTCGCCAATAACACCAGAAAAAGTCGCTAGATTTGTCGCTAGTCGCTTTTTTGAAAAAAAGTCGCTATAGGGGTCTGAAAAGTCGCTAAATCTAGCGACAAAGTTGCTAAGTTGGCAACACTGCGTCCCACGGAACCTACAATAGATCCATGAGCGGAACGAAGAACTTCCTCACAGCAGACTGGGAGATGAGAAGTCTGCCGCTGCAGACACGCCCCCTCTACGACAGTCACACTGTCACACAGCGCAGGTTTTGACACAGCAGCGGAGGAATGGAAGACAAAGGCCCAGTACTAATATCCCAGTCACAACTGATAATGCCAAAAATTAAATAAATGCAGTGAATAAGGCTGGACTGGGCCCAGAATGGAGCGCCTCCTTGGGAGAATCAGGAAGGAGGTTTAATATATGAGGGTAAATACCCTCATAAAGTGCCTTCTTATGTTGCACTTTGTGTTGTTTTTCATTAATTATGGATGGATGGATGGAATATGCCTTCCATCCATCCATCCATTTCTAGGTCAGGGGGGGCAGTCAGAGCAGGTGCCGAGTCCACATGAGCTGTGTTTATTAAAAAGTCAAAACTTTTTTTGGAAAAATGAACCGAAAAATGAACCGAACCGTGGCCTCTGAACCGAGCTACGAACCGAACCGTGATTTTTTCAAACCGTTGCACCCCTAATCTATTCATATAACAGACAATCACAGACCATGTCCAAAGCTAAATCCTCTGCATGTGTCCAGGGTAATTAGGTGAAATGTAAGTAGTAAGTAAGTTTTTATTTATATACCGCCTTTTCACTGCAGATCTGAGTCTCAAAGCGGTTTACAATTGTTAATTTTGGGCATTTATCTCTCACTCCACACAGAGATGGGAGCGGGGTCGCCAGTACAGGAAGCGCATGCTAGAACTATTGGACATATTTTTAGTGGTAGGGGAAACCGGAGTACCCGGAGGAAACCTACGCAGACACGGGGAGAACATGCAAACTCCACTCAGAAAGGCCCTGGTCCGACCGGGATTTGAACCCAGGACCTTCTTGCTGAGAGGCGAGAGTGCTATCCACTCAGCCACCGTGCCGCCCCAAATGCTGTTGGCAGACTGACCTCCAGGCCGTCCAGCAGCAGGAGCTCATTTGGGCTGCTGTGCTGTCATCACCTCCACGAGCCTGGGCAGCCCTGGAGACACACTCGCCAACTTCTGGAAAGACGGTGAGACAAAAACCGCATTTGAATGGCACGCAGATGACCTATATACAGTACTTACGCACAAGGTCGGTGACGTGTCTAGAAAAGAACTTTTAAACCTTAACCACTACCACCTCTCCTCCTTTTCCCTATCTCTAATACAGCCATAGTTTTATACTGTATGTGGTGTGTGTGTTTGTGTGGGTGTGAGGGTAGGATCGAGTTTAGGGGTGAATTACCAGTGTTTTTCAACCAGTGTACCGTGGTGCATTTGTGGACCTTGCGATGTTGATTGGTGTGCCTTTGAAAACAATCCAATATCATCCGATTTGTCAAAAAAATATGAAAATAAACTAAAGTGAGAAGATAAGAAAGACTTTTTTGTGCTTGTGTGGGTCGAGGCTGTTGTATATGTTTATAGTGATAGAGGGAACTTTCGCAGACATGGGGAGAACATGCAAACTCCACTCTGAAATGCCCTGTTCTACCCGGGAATTGAATCTATAGGATATTCTTGCTTTTCTTGTGATTTCAACGACAGTGTTGTTACGGAAAGCAAAATTCCCTGTCTCTTGCTATATTCTCAAATGGAATGAGTAAAAAAATAGGGGGATTTTTGGCAAACATGACAAGCGTGAAATTGGTTTACAAAAGAACTGTCTGGCATTTGAATAAATAATATACAAAAACAAGAAAACCACAAATTAGACATCATTCTAACGCGAGCCTGTGTGCCTTTTGTCACACCTATGACGATCACTTGGAATTATGTCAATGCAATGGCACAATATACATGACTGTAATAAAAATGAATAAAAAAATTAAAAATAATATATATAATTTTCTACATTTTGATTCTTGTGTCAATTTATTCAACAAGTTCCTCATAGTAGCCCTTTCCTGCAGGCAAACCTAAAGCCTAGCATACATGGACAGAGTAACTGGAGACAACTAGTTGCAAGGCGGCTTTTGGGAACTGAGAGTAGATGATGGAGATGATCAGTTGCCGAAATCGGTCGATGTGAGCGCTCTTACAACTGGAGATAATGGCAACTAGTTGTACTCAGATCCGGAGATATAACTCGATGATGCGCACTCCGTGGCGCACTCCAACAACATGTGTGTATTGCGCCCTCTACAGTTTATGTCAGAAAACACACTGTAGTTGAGGCCAGTTGCTGTCGATGTACGCGCTGTTATTCCCGAGACTGGTCTGCTACTGGAGTTGTCCGTTTTTGCCTCACTGTCGATGTGTGCGGGGCAGCAACTCACATGCGACGGATATAATCAGTTTCCAGTCCGATGTACGCTAGGCATAATGTTAAAACTGACTATAAAGTTACTCTATCCAACAGCCCATTCTACAGCCCATTCACTTAAATGCAAAAAGTTTATACTAAATAAATGTCAATTACCTGGAATTCACACAGTTTCCAATGTGCAAAAATGTCTCTCTTTCAAATGTCATTTCCACACTTCAGACACACTTCTAAGTCACTTATTATAACAAAAATTACCGGTCGCCAACCAATGGAACCAGCAGCTGCAAAAGAGCCTCCAAAATCTGCATATCACAAAACAAATCCAGCCGCTAATTCAAGCTAATGATCCGGAAACCATGGCAACAGAGTTTTTCTTGTGGCATAAAGGCATGATTTGATGATGGGTGTAAAAAGCAGGAGGTGGGATGGTGTTTGTGTTAGAAAGATGAGAGAGGCGTCGGCTCACCTTGACGTTTTGTTCTTCGCGACACGTTGTCTTCTGTGAATCCACATTTACAAAGCAGATCTGAAGAGAGAGAAGGGAAAGGATTTTGCACCGAGATGTGGAGACGAGACAATAGTGGAACGCAAACAAGTCAAGGGAAGACGCACAAAACACTCGAGTCACTTGTAAAGACTTGCAAACTGTCTGAACAATATCAACCGTATTTAATTGTATTTTAATGTGTTTAATTGTATTTTTTACTTTTCAGCAACCTGTAAAATTATAACTGAATCACCTTTTGATTCGCCTCTGTGCACGGCGCTTATAAAGAAAACTGACGTACTTTTTTAGTATTTGGTCATATATTTTTCAAAAATGAATACACAAATTTGGGCACGACCAGAAAATATGCGCTTGGGAATATCTGTGCCACAGTATCTCCATAATCAAACCGTTAAAACACATGAATTGCACTAATACTGTAACAACCACATTAGGAGCCGTTGGTCCATAGAAAGTGGGATGACCAAACATTTTAATAATGTCCTTAAATATCTCGGATCATCACTGTCCTCAGACTCTGCTGTATCTGCAAAGAACGACTCCAAAAAAAGATTGAGGCAGACATAATTTCCTCTTATTTATAATATTTCGCAAAACAAAATTAAATTACATAAATCTCCCTGAATCATTTTATTTACATTTTTTGTTTCTCCTTTAATCATTTTATTTACAAAACGAGGATTACTCCTTCTACACACTTCAGCTTTGTGGAATTTATCAACATTAGTCATGTCGGGACGGAAGAGACGGAGAAGCGTCTGCGGTGGCTGTTGTGCTTTGGAAAATCAGCTTAAATCTCTTCAAATACGGATATCTATTGTGGAAACAGAAATGGGACTTAACCCGACTCTTCCAATGAGTGAAAATGGGATGAATGGACAGACTGGAAATGTAAGTTATGACGTCATTTCTTTTCCCAAAATCAACAATGAGAATTATTGGAACAATTGTGGAGCCAAACCCAAAGTTGACAAAGCTAAGAATGACAATAGGAGTGAAATAAGGCCACAACTAAATGTTCTGAAGACTTCAAACCGCTTTTTACCCCTTTCTGAAACAACAAAGCTGCTAAAAACTGCAGCGCCTCCACCAAGGACAAACTGTATCCTTATCGGAGATGGCTCGGTGAAAAATGTAAACATGGAGTCCATGCTCACTGTCTCAGTTCACTCTGCTAAAGTTGCTGAGATAAGAACTCTTCTGCCTAGAGTGTTATCTGAGAACAGTGGTGTGCGTACATTATTGATCCACACGGGGGCGGTAGATATCTATGAGAAGGCAAGCGAGAAGTTACGAATGGATTTAACGCTGTTACTGGATGACCTCAAGAAAATGGACATAACAATTTTTCTTAGTGGCCCACTGCCAAATATAGATGGAAAAATGGAGAAGTTTAGCCGTCTGTATCAGCTAAATACATTTCTACTCAATGAGTGTTCACGCAGAGGACTTGGCTTCATTGAAAACTTTAATCTGTTCTGGAATAGGCACGAGCTTTTTGAAGAAAAAGGCCCACATCTGAACAACTACGGAGTAAAAGTGCTGATGGATAACTTTGCATCTGCCCTAAGACCTCAGCCTGCGCAGCGCGTGCAGCCGTTGAAAGGGAGAAAGAAGAAGCAAAGGGCACAGACATCACGACCATCTCCACCGACTCCCGAGGTCTCTGCACCCCCACCGCCTCAAAAGAACTCCACACCTCCACGATTCAAGAAGAACTCAACACCTCCAAGGTTCCAAAAGAACTCAACACCTCCACGGCTTCGAAAGAGCTCAACGCCTCCACCCCCAGCATCATCAGCAGCTGCCACATCTTCATCAGCGCCATCAGCATATACAGCACCACCAGCAGCAGTGGATACAGCCGCAGCAGTGGCTGCTCCATCATCTTCAGCAGCAGCAGTGACTGCTCCATCATCTTCAGCAGCAGCAGTGGATACAGCAGCAGCAGTGGCTGCTCCATCATCTTCAGCAGCAGCAGTGGATACAGCCGCAGCAGTGGCTGCTCCATCATCTTCAGCAGCAGCAGTGGATACAGCAGCAGCAGTGGCTGCTCCATCATCTTCAGCAGCAGCAGTGGCTGCTCCATCATCTTCAGCAGCAGCAGTGGATACAGCAGCAGCAGTGGCTGCTCCATCATCTTCAGCAGCACCTTCCCCACCTACAGCTCCCGTGAAGCTTCCCCCATTACTCCAGGCTACAGTCAGGCCTGTACTGGGGGTTCCTCAACCACCTCTGTCTCCACCAAAGACTCCCTCATCACCTTCCATGGACCCGGCTTGGGTCCCCCCCGCTACATCCACTCCATCTAGGGAAAATGAGGACGACCTTTCCCTTTGTTTTCTATCCCCGCCTTCACTACTGGATTTACCGGAACACTCTGCAGGCATGATAAGATCGGCGATGAAGACTATTCCTCTCACACCCACTGTAGCCAGATCAAGAGTCCTATCTAACATTCAAAACTACTCCCCATACGTACCTCCAAAGCCACCTAGGGCGTCCAACTCAAATTCTCCCACAAAATCCACCCGTCCCTCCTCTAACCCCATAAGTATTCCACCCCCCCCTCCTGCTCATTTAGCCCCCCTCCCCCCCCCTAACTCAGCACCAAGAAACCCTCCACCTCCACTCCCCCCTCGTCCACCACCCAACTCAGCCTGCCCCTCCCCTAACCCATCACCAAAAACCCATCCACCTTCAACCCCTCCCCGTCCAACTCCCAAGAACCACCCGCCTCTCCATCCTCCTCCCCCGCCTTCCCCTACCCCTCTTTTCTCTAAACACTAGGATGCACAGGGTCTCTGCTTCGCAGCCACTGGCAGTCTAGTTAGAGGAGAGACCCGGCTGGGGCCCTGTCATGAAGCCACCTGTGCCATTCCCATAGTGATAGCACAAAGAATACATAACAGAAAAACATCTGGAGTTAATCAGTCTAATCAGGAAAATCTAATTCTTGTTCCGTGTAAGAATCAGCCGACCACAACCGCTGATCCTGAAACTTTGAAACTTGCTATGCTAAATGTCAGATCTCTTTGTAACAAGTCTTTTTTAATCAATAATTTTATTTGTTCTTATAATCTAGATCTTATGTTCATGGCTGAAACATGGCTTGACCAAAATACAGAAAATGCAGTTTTAATAGAAGCATCACCACCAAATTTCAAATTTGAATCTGAAATACGGGAAAACAAAAAAGGAGGAGGCTTAGCTGCCATTTTCAGAGACCACTTTGTCTCCCATAGAATGTCTCTTGGGAAGTTTCCGTCTTTTGAATATGTGTCTTTTAAAATACAACAAAAACAATCTCCTCCAATACTTTTCGTTGTCCTATACAAGCCACCGCAGTCATGTCACAGTTTTATTGATAATTTTACAGAGTTGCTTTCAGTTGTATGCACAGATTTTGATAGTTTAGTTATTACAGGTGATTTTAATATTCATGTGGATAATGTTGATGACAGAAATGCTAAAGAGCTGAGTTCTCTTCTTGAATCTTTTGGTCTCACTCAGCATGTGAGTGGCCCCACCCACAGCAAAGGGCACACTCTAGACCTGTTAGTTACAAAGGGGGCGAACATTTATAATGTAAACGTGGTCGATGTTGCGCTTTCGGATCATTTTTGTATATTTTTTGACATGTGTTTCACTAACAAACCACCAGTGGACTCTGCAACTGTACAAAGAAGACACATAAATGAAAATACGGGTGAACTATTTATGGGAATGATAAACTTTGAGAATGCATCGTATTCTACTGTAGATGAACTGTTTAAGTCTGTCACCTCTAGTGTTTTGAAAGTTCTGGACACCATCGCTCCTGTGAAGGTTAAAATAGTGAAAAATAAGCAGAAGGCGCCGTGGGCTAAAGCAGACTCGGTCAGAGCACAAAAGAGAGAGTGCCGGAGGGCCGAGCGGAAGTGGCGCAAGTCCAACCTCCAGGTTGATTACAAGATCTTCAAAGATAAGTTGTGCGAGTTTAACCAGGTGCTACGTAGTACAAGAGAAAGGTATTTTTCTGAAATGATTGAAGGCTGCAGCAACAATCTGCGTGTTCTGTTTTCAACAGTTAATAGATTAACAAACCCCCCTGTTCAAATGCCATTAGAGCTAACTTCCAAACGTAAATGTAATGAGTTTGCACATTTTTTCAATGACAAGGTTCAAGGCATCAAAAACGCCATTGTCTCCAATCCACAGATAACAATCCAACAGCCAGAAAGGCTCTTTGAGCTAACTTACTTTGCACCTGTAAATGATCAAACTGTCCAAGAGATAATCTCCAGTTTGAGCTCCTCCACATGCAGCCTGGATGTACTACCCACTAGATTTCTAAAGTCTGTTCTGAGCAGTCTGTTACCTTCACTCACACAGATAGTAAACATGTCCCTTGATTCTGGAATATTCCCAAAGGCCCTGAAAACTGCAGTCATCAGGCCCCTGCTAAAAAAGAGCAGTCTGGATGCTACGGTACTTAACAACTATCGTCCCATCTCAAATCTGCCATTTATGGGGAAAGTCCTTGAGAAAGTTGTCTACCTACAGCTTACTAGATTTCTTATAATCAACAACTCATTTGATATGTTTCAGTCCGGCTTTAGACCCCACCACAGCACTGAGACTGCTCTCGTTAAGGTTACAAACGATATCCGGCTGAACACTGACGCAGGCAAAGTCTCAATCCTAATCCTGTTAGATCTAAGTGCTGCCTTTGATACTGTCGACCATGAGATCCTCTTACAGAGACTAGAGGACTGGGTTGGCGTCGCTGGCACCGCCCTAAGTTGGTTTAGGTCTTACCTTGAAGACAGGAAGTACTTTGTGGAGATTGGAAACTGTGTCTCAGATCATATGGCCCTGACCTGTGGAGTACCACAGGGGTCGATCCTGGGACCTCTTCTGTTCAATCTCTACATGCTGCCGTTAGGTCAGTTAATACGCAGAAACAAAGTTTCCTATCATAACTATGCAGACGACACTCAGATCTATGTCTCACTGACTGCAGGAGAACATGGACCAGTGGACTCACTCCTTCACTGTATCCAACAGATCAGTGAGTGATGCAAAACAACTTCCTTCAGCTAAACGCAGACAAAACTGAAATGATTGTCTTTGGTCCCCAGAAACAAAGAGAGAGCGTCATCTGTCACCTACAGTCTCTCTCCCTAAAACCTTCAAACAAGGTCAGAAATCTAGGGGTAATACTGGACTCAGACTTAAATTTTAATAGCCACATCAAATCAGTAACATCAGCAGCTTTTTACCATCTAAAAAACATTGCCAGGATCAAAAACATAGTGTCTAAAGCAGACTTGGAGATTCTTATCCATGCATTTGTCTCCAGTAGGTTAGACTACTGCAATGGCCTGCTCACAGGTCTGTCCAAACAGGCTGTAAAACAGCTGCAGTACATTCAAAATGCAGCAGCTCGAGTCCTGACTAGAACCAGGAAGTACGACCATATTAGTCCGGTCCTCAGGTCTCTGCACTGGCTTCCTGTGGCTCAGAGAATAGACTTTAAAACAGCTCTGCTTGTGTACAAATCTCTCCATGGCCTCGCACCAAAATATATTAGTGACATGTTAGTCCCATATGAACCAGCCCGGACTCTGAGGAGCACAGGGACTGGACTCCTGTTAGTGCCCAGAGTCAGAACTAAACATGGGGAGGCTGCTTTTCAGATTCATGCTGCTAAAATCTGGAACAATCTTCCTGAAGATGTGAGACAGGCCTCCTCTCTGACAATGTTTAAAACCAGGTTAAAAACGGTGCTGTTTAGCTGTGCATACAACTGAGGGATTTTATATTTTTATCTTTCGTTTTAATGTTCTGTAATTATTTATGATTTTAATGCTATCTTGTTCAGCACTTTGAGTTGCCTTGTGTATGAATTGTGCTATACAAATAAACTTGCCTTGCCTTGCCTTGCCTAAAGGTGAAGGTAAAGGTGCACTTTATTTATCCCCGTAGGGCAATTCATCCTCTGTATTTGACCCATCCTGATGCTGCGAAGGCTTACGTCAGGAGCAGTGGTCGCCGTAGTAACAGCTGAAGGATTTAACCTAGTATGCATTTTTTTTAATGGTAGGGGAAACCGGAGCACCCCAAGGAAACCTACGCAGTCACTGGGAGAACATGCAAACTCCACTCAGAAAGGCCCTGTTCCGACCGGGATTCGAACCCAGGACCTTCTTGCTGAGAAGCGAGAATGCTGTCCATGTGGCTCTTATGTTTTATATTTCATAAAACAATATAAATGACTGAAAATCTGTGTGGTTTTTAGGATTAACGGGTGTGTTCTCTTACTCGGAGTTCCCATCTTGTCATACTGTACGTCTGTTTGTTAAAGAAAACCAACACATGCTTTCTGACATTTGCCTTAACTATTCCGTGTCAAGTATCTGTTGGACTAGACTCAAAAATAAATATCAAAGAGGATTTTATGAACACTTTTTGCTTTGAAGTAGTTTTTCCAACTTCTCAAGCAGTTTCAAACAGCTCAATACTTTTGAATCCCTCAACTTGTGAAGTGATTTGCATTTCCCACATTTTATTACAACAATATACAACGCAGCCACTTCGGCTTCTTTCATCTGCACCTTTGGACTGGACTGGTCTCCCCCAGAGCCGGACTCGTGGGCTGCTCTCCCCTCGCCACCTGGGAGCCTCCTCAGTCCGGCACCACCCAGGCTCAGTCCTTGTTCTACCCATAGACTGTATATATTTACAGACGTAGTCACGCCTATCTCCGCCGTTCTAACTAATGGGCCAAAAATTGGGCTTTCATGGAGTGATTCAAAATGGCCGCGGGGGCTGGAAAATGCAAAAAAACGCATCTGTGCATTTGTGAGCCGGCACGAGCCCAATTCATTTAAACGAGTGACTTCAAAAATTCACAGCGAGTAAACTAGACTGGTTCCAAAAAAATCCACCCCCCTCAGCATTGACACACATGTGGAACGGAGCTTTGGGCCAAGAGCCAACTTTTGGACCATCCTGTAAAGACGTTTTCGAGAGGTAAGAAGATGCTATATGTTAGCATTGGCTAATTCTTATTCTGGGTCCACCTCCATCGGCCCCGGGTGGTATTGCAAGCATGTCAGCGCACGTCATTTTGGCCACTTTTGAGGCGGGACCCGCCCCCGCTGGTTCTACCGCCTGAGTCCTGGATCTACAGACCATGGGAGCGAATCCCTCTCTCAATATGGGCCTCCCTAAGGTTTCTCCCTTACAATAAAAAAAGAAAATCCAAAGAAACATGTCAAAGCTACCATGAAATGTAATTGCCTATGGTGCTAATGTAGCTGGTGAGATGGTCATTTGTCAGTCAGCAATCTTCAGTTTTCAGCCAGAGAAATTTCAGTCCGAGTTAACGAACAGTCCGAGTTAACGAACTAACGTGGCCGAGTTAACGAACTAACGTGGCCCTTTTACTATTCATTTTGGAGTGGCATCGCAGAGTCAAATGCAAAGGACAAACTTCCCCATGGAGGCAATACAAGTACTTATTTATTTTTTTGAACAGATGTAATTCTGCTCAAAAGGAGAGGGCTGAAGCAAGAAGAGTATGAGTAAAGAAAAGTGGATTTAGTAACAGAATGAATGCAGCAATGCAAAGTTCAGAGCTATTGTTGGTGGGAGTGGTTATTGTCCATGTGAGGGGGACGGAGAGGGGAGAGGGGTAGCGTTCAGTATTTAAATTATGAGAATATAGATCACGCATTCTTCAGTCAACATCACGAGTGGCCTTTTACTTTTTTGATTAAAAAAAGCGCTTGCGTCCTTTGCTTTTTTCCTGTGGGCCCATTCAGAGGCAGCCTGTGTGTCCTGCGTGTCTATTGTCCTCATCACTATGCGAAATGTCAACAAGGTGCAGTGTGCCGATGAGTCTATGATAGCATTTACTGGAGCTCATTATGGCATTCAGAATCTGCAAACGTCTTATTAACCGGTGTTTACAGATCCGCGTGCTGCCGGGGTTCATTTGCATTGATTACATCTGTATATTTATTCACAATGATACAATGCCACAAACAGGCAGGGAGCGCTATAGTTCCTGCACCACTCCTAAGCGTGATTATTGGTTGTACCAAAAACATGCTCAAGGTGCGTTGCCCAAGGACACACAATTGGATATCATACCTCTAGTACAGCTCTATACTGAAGATCTACCATCAAAGTTTGGGTTACCTGTATAAAGTCGTGTGTGTTTATGGACATTTTATGTATTTGAAAATGTTTTTGCTTCACATGGATGGTAAGCTTGCTGTAAGTAAGTTGTAAGTAAGTTTATAGTCCAAGGGCACCCAAAGTGCTTTAGAATGTTCAGAGTGTGTTCTATTCTCTCCACACGGTGAAGACTGACAAACTGGAGCATGAAAGCCCCCAACCAACACCATCCATTCACTCATCACATTCAAACCTATTGCACATGTTTTAAGTGGTAGGGGAAACCTCCACTCAGAAAGGGTGTTCCTGTTCCGACCAGGATTCGAACCCAAGACCTTCTTGCTGAAAAGTGAGAATGCCATCCACTCAGTCACTGTGCCGCCCTGTAGTCCTGGGTAAAAAAACTTTATCTGACCCTTTTATTTCGACACATTCCCGTCCTACTTTTGAGAAGCTGACGCAGATCTAAACAACACGCCGGCCTATCCCACTGTTGGCTCTTGTCAACACAGCATTTCACACAAGTTTGAAAACACAGATCTACAGTGTGAAACAACATATAGTCTGCTATATGTTGTATTTTAAGATCAATCGATCACTACACTATGAGCATTTTAAAACATCAAAAAAAAACATCATAATTTATGCCCACTCAGTCCTGCACTGCACAACCTCTGTCCTCATCCATCAGTTTACTATTGTAACGTAAAGTCATGTTTGAACAAAAAATATTTACCTATGTTTAAGAGTCGTGACCAACCAACCAAACCTATGTCCTGTATGATATGAAATATCATACAGGACATTTACGGACAGTGGACATCACGCTCGCTATGGACAAATGTCTCCTGTGTGTAAGTTATTATTGCATTTCCTGTGTTTGAACTTGGTTTCGTAAAGTCCTGCGAGAAATATATTGAATTGAAATTGAAATGAATCACAACATTGTACAGATTTCTGCCTGCTCTTTTACAGTGTATTTAAAACCTTGTTACAAAGACAATCAAGTAACTATGGGACTATGGGGTACAGGTGACAATATTTTTTTCAGAACAACTTTGTAAAGTCCTCCGCGACAAATGATGTTGTGATTTAAAGCTATACAAAAATAAATGTAATTCAATTGCATTGATTCTCATCTCCCGTGGCATCCAACAGCAATCTTTGTTAAAACGTTTTCAAAAGAAGGGCACAGTGTTCTGCGCAGTGCATGTCCCGCTGATCGGACGTGCTGGCCAGGCCAATGAATATGACCTCCAAAAAGGTGAACGCAATTGGAGCTCATCAGGCAGCGGTGAAGAGGCAGCAGGTCTAAATCTGGGAACATGCAGACCACGCTGTGTCTGAGTGGGAGACGTGACTGCTGAGCACACAAGTGACACAATGGAAACAATACAGACGTCAAAGCTCAAGCACCTCACTTTAAATCCACTTGGGCGGCACGGTGGCTGAGTGGATAGCACTCTCGCCTCTCAGCAAGAAGGTCCTGGGTTCGAATCCCGGTTGGACCAGGGCCTTTCTGAGTGGAGTTTGCATGTTCTCCCCGTGTCTGCGTAGGTTTCCTCCGGGTGCTCCGGTTTTCCCTACCACTAAAAATATGTGCAATAGGTCTGGCATGTGCCTCCTGTACTGGCACTCCCACTCCCAAAAATCACAATTGTAAACCGCTTTGAGACTCCGATGTGCAGTGAAAAGGCGGTATATAAATAAAGATTACTACTACTATTACTACACTGAAAACATAATATAATAAAATTCTTCTAACTAGATCCTCGCTTATGGTCGCTGTATCGGACAGTTGTGGTAAAGAGGGAGGTGAGCCGAAAGGCAAAGCTCTTGATTTATTGGTCAATCTTCGTTCCCTCCCTCACCTATGGTCATGAGCTTTGAGTGATGCCCAAAAAGACGAGATCACCGGTACAAACGGTCGAAATGACCTTCTCCGCAGAGTGGCTGCTCCCTTAGAGCCTTAGAGATAGGGTGAGGAGCTCAGTAACACAGGAGGAGCTCGGAGTAGAGCCGCTGCTTCTCCGCGTGGAGAGAAACCAGTTGAGGTGGCTCGGGCATCTGTTCTGGATGACTCCTCCTAGGGGAGGACTTTCCGGTGGTCCTAGGACAAGCTGAACTGTGTCTCTCAGCTGGCCTGGGAACGCCTTGGGGTCCCGCCGGAGCAGCTGGAGGAAGTGTCTGTGGATAGTGAAGTCTGAGCGTCTCTGCTTAGACTGCTGCCCCTCCGACCCGGCAACGGATGAAGTGAAAGAAAATGGATGGATGGATAGTTCCTCGCTCTCAAAACAGTTTTGGTTATAGTATTACCAGCAATTGCATGCTATTGTTCTGTCATTTTTGATCAGCTTTTTCTCACAGAAAAGAGAAAAAAGAGAGGACCACCCTCGCTCAGCTAATCAGCTCTCAGGAGTCAAAAAGAGACTTCCAGGGCTCTTCCATATTCACTAAGAATGTTGAGGCAAAAAACATGTATTATGGAAGGAACCAAAAGTTAAGTATCACAACTTGAAATAAGGTCTTAAAACAAAACAGTACAGGGTTGTAATAGAATAAGTTTTGATTCACATTAAAAAAAAAAGTAAACATGGCCTTAATTCATATGGGTCTAAACCAAGCCCAACATTTTGGGCATAACTCTCTCTGGTCTGCTCTTTCTCCCACCTTTTTTTGTTTTTCTATGGTGAACATATTTTCCGGCTCCAGCTGTGTGGGATACACATTGGATTTGTGACCACAAAATAGGTCACAGTCAGATTTGGGGAAAACCAGGCCAAAACCTAATTTAATTGTCGCGTATGTGAGCAGGTACAAACCTTTATCTTATGATGAGAAAAAGACAAACAAAAGTGACTAATGTGCTTGGATAGAATTGATTCCAACACAAACCGGATCTATTAATAGTGCAGCTCTTTCATTTGGGAGTATTTTTAAACACTGCAACTTCAGAGCCCCAAAGAAATGAGATTTATTGTGTATAAATCACATTTGGACGGGTGCAGTCCCAAATCTGTATCGACAGGCTCAAATTACACACCTGTGATTGAATATACCTGCTCCAAAAGAGCGTCCCATGGCACAGACACAGCAGCGTTGGTGTTTGGCCCACTCACAGAAGCAGCTGTAGAAAAACTATTTCTTTCA